CCTCTCCTCTGCTGTAGTAGTTGTAGTTATTCCACTTTTTGCGATCATTCCCATTTCACTGATTCGCCGCACATCAAACCCGAGGGCGTGGGCCAAATTGTGTGCAATGATGCGAGTGAACAGTCGTGTGTTGACAATGTCTGCGGGTGCAAAGTTCATCGCCGCAGACGTCGGCCGCCCATCATCGGCCTCAGAGCAGATCACCACAAATGGTGCCACCGTCTCTGCCAACACAAACAACACAAAATCCGCCTCAACCACACCCACACTCTCATACGCTGCGGGAAGCTCAACGTATGTGTAGCACATCTCTGAGATAAATTGTATGATGACCAAATTAAACCGTGATCGCACCACAAGAAGACGCTCACTGTGCAATGCAATAGCTGCAGGAAGGAGTTCATTCAACAGAATGTCTCGTTTCTGAGGTGTGAGTACATTTCCATCACGACATGATGGAGAGTGTCTATGTGAAGAAACAGTCATTCCACTACTGCAGCGCCTCATCACTCTATCCAACTCGTCAGAAGAGAGATGAATACGAATAGGCATCCAATCTTCCTCATCACTTTTTACTGAAGTAGTAGTAGTAGTAGTAGTAGTACTTGTTGTTGTTGTTGTGTAGAGGGAAACAGTACTCTTACCACTTTGAGGTAATTCTCGTATAATAGAAACAGGCAAAGGTGTATAATCAGTTTTATTTTTCATGTTCTTCCACACAGTAGTATCGTACGTACAACTGTCATCACGGAGGGCTGCAAGGCCACAGACACAGTGCAGGAAGAGCAGCAAGAACAACATCACAGATATTATCGTTTCCAACAACTTCTTCATTACTTTGTTATTCTACTGTTCTATGTATTAGTTTTCTCTGATTATTTTCTTTATTTATTCTGCCTCTACCGTTCTTTACGATTTAGATCAGATGGTAAAACAACATGAACACTTCGTAATACAACACACTCTAAACCATTCGGAAATTCACACCTTGATTGAAACAAATAAAAGAAAAAATATACACTCTCATCATCAGAAAGGATGAAGATATACAAACAAAAACACAAATGCCAAACACAGAAAAACCACCACAAAGTACATCATCCTCATCATTATCAGCCACAAAATATAGCACAGTTACCATTGTCAAACATTGAAGAATAATAACTAACAGTAACAAAATACGAATTCATAATAAAAGCCATTAACTACCCACTGAGTGAGAGACTATACCACCATTACTGTTGCTATCCAGAGTACTGTGACTGGTTGGGAAATTGATGAGTGCACTACTACTAGTGCCGTACATCAACAACACCAATTAGTATTCTATATATATTCACTCAGCACTAATTCCCATTCCATTTCACAGTAATGGCAAGCATTCACTTCATTACAGTGAAGGCGTAAACACATCATGTACAGTACACCTTACACTGTAGACTGGCAGCTGTCCCTCTTCCTTCGTTACCCACATCGAGTATGTGCGTACACACACATGGGACCAAAACAACCCCTTATCCCTGCTATGTCTGCTGCACAAGTGTGGCTTTATTAGAGCCAACAACGCAGACACACACAAATAGCATACACGGTATCACTGTTATTATTATTATTATACTACACTAGTCCATCATAAACTAAGGAATAGGAAACACAAAGAGCAAAAAGGTAAACACACAGATATAACACCACAAAGCCTTATCACACCCATTGTACACCATAGGAACACATCTCTTTAAACTGCCAAATACACCATTCATGTCAAAAAAACCATTATTAATAAACCCCAATCACTGAATCCACACACACAACAGTACCACATAGGTACCGATGCTTAATAACAGAGAGTAGTGCAGTATAATAAGGCACCAAAAAGAACAAAACCACTCAGCTTACCTCACAGCACTACCTCCTTAAGAGGAAAGACGGTATTAACATTCAGCACACACATTCCACACTAAAAGCTGAAAAACACAAATAAAAAACAATACTGCCGTCATTATCCTCAAACTATTATTAAGCAAAGCAAAAAAAAAGACATTAATGTTCATGTTAAAAAGAAATTACACTCAAGATTTGATTCTCGAGCTGAAAAGAAACTGCCCCAAGATGAGGCCAAATCACACAGAGGTGCCACCCACCACCACCACTACTACTACTACAATATGTCTATCCATTCCCTCCCAGCAGCAGTGTATGGGGGCACCACCATAAAGCAAATAAATAAAGAAAAAAAGATGTTATTAGCCCAGTTTCACACAATGAGTGTTAATATCAAGGACCCATCCACGTTGACGGGGTGATTGTAATACAGCAGTGGCACCAGGTCCATGGAGGGCAGGACGTGCACACACAACCACAACAATCAGATAAACACACACAGAGTAGCAAAGTAGAGGGATGTGATGTGGTGGGTGCCGTCGCCAGCAAAAAGAGGGGAATATCATTACAGTGCCGCACTGGCAGAGGGGGCGGGACTCAGCACAGCACTGCGGCGGTGAGGGCGGCGAGCAGCACCAGCGGGCTGTGCAGCCACTCAGGGCCGCGGCCGCCGTCCTTCTTCTTCTTCTTCGGTGCTGCGGTGCTCGACGTACTCGACTCCTCAGGAGTGGCGGCCTGTCCATCTCCTGTTTCTGTAGTCTGTTGATCAGCTGGTGTTGATGGGGCAACAGTAGTGGTGTCAGAGAGAGGAAGAGTGGCGGAGGCACTCATGGACTCACTCATACTGAGGGATGGTGTGGTGGTAGTGAATTTACCGTTATTCCACTGTTCGCTGCCTTCTCTCTTCCCTTGTCCCTGTGCCTCTGTAGCGTATCCACCCACACGTGGCACCGGCAGTGGCATCCTCTCTGCTGCTGTACATGTACAGATGCAGGAGAGTATCAGTAGCAAGGTTAACAATAGAAGAGTTGTGCGCATAGTGATTGTGTAACTCTGTCGTTTGTGTGAATTCTCTTAAATGATACGTAACATAAGGAGAAATAAAACATAAACTTATTCATTAAAATGGTGGTTTTTATAAATATCTATTCATGTACTAGACATATGATTTGCAGAAAACAATAAAAGTTTCTATCGTTTTCTTTATGATAATTATCACTAATAATAATCTGCAATATATATATTTTGTACGACATTAGAGTTGTTTTTTTTGTTTGTGTTTTTTTTTTATTAAATTTTTGTCCACAATATACTTCTCATTTTACTCGATTATACAATACTTCAACAAAAAGGAGAAAAGTCAATGCCAGAAGTAGTAACAGAATACCACATTAAGCTAATGTTGTTATTGTTGTTGCTAATACTGTAGTAAAGCTCTGCCTAAAGCAGAAGTTGTTTGGTGCAGTTAAAGGTCCCTCCAAGGCTGTATAATATGATTGTGATGGTAATTGAGATGTAATCTGTATAGCAGTTTTCTCTTATTCACTCTGAGAGTAAAGATGAATAGTGCGTGGGTCAGAAAGTGATGATGTGAATAAACTGAGAAATATCATGTTTTTTAATCTTCTCATTTCTCTGGGTTTTACTCCAATGATGTTACTGCCATCCGACGACTGAAGAGTATATCCATTCTTCCTCCAAATGAGTGAATAGAAAAATATCCCATTCTTTATCGGGATTTCATGTTTTTTAAAATATTCTTTTCTTAATTTAGAGTTTTGTTTTCATATTTTCATTTATACCTTTTTTTCATACAATACAAATTAGTCTACGATAAATAACCACTAGAACTCTCAAAAAGAATCCGTTGAAAAGTTTCGTTTTGTGCATTTTTTATTTGACCTCACTGAACTTCTATTTATTCTTTTGCTTATTAGGGACTTTAATTAAATACGTTTATCTCTGAATCCTTCAGGTCCTGCGTAATCAATGCCAGTCACACTTCATGACGGAGAATTCTCTGATGTTAGTGGAGGTGGGTGACATAGGGATACCTGTATGAAAGAGTTAGGGTATATTGTAGTTCCTCTCCAAAGCTATAAGAAATTGGACTAACTCTTTAGTAAAAGATAAATACTTAAAGGAAACTCCAGATACCGCAAACTGTACACACAATGAGCAAAAGTAAAACAAGTGAATAGCTACAGGATTGTTTTGTTGCAGGACACTGTACCAATTTCCGCAGCGTACACGAATGATTTGATAACCTTGTTATGACATATCTGTGTAATGTATGGAGGCTTTTTTTCTTATCTTGTCAGTTCCATCTCGGCCATACCAACGCCAGAGAGTCTCTTCATTTGGCCGCTTTGCTCTGGGAGTGTTTAGAAATATCCCTTTACAAACATCCCTTGTTAACCAAAGATCATTCTCATTTGGATTAAAAAAAAGACATATGTGCATAAATCATACAGTATAGTTTTCATTAAACTATGCACATCGATACTATTGTTGCAATTAACACTGCACCGCTCGAGTCTTTCTTATAGTACGGGGAAACATCACACATTTGTCCCATTTCGACAGCTAAAACATTCAGTCCCACTCATAACAACAAAAAGGAATGCCGCGACCCGGGATCGAACCAGGGACCTTCAGATCTTCAGTCTGACGCTCTCCCAACTGAGCTATCGCGGCTGTCGATAAAACACAACTGAAACTGCCCCCATAATCTTATTGGAACTCATTTCTTCACTAATAAAAACACATCTGGATCGAATTACGGTGCTGTACAATTCCTCATGGGTTGAGAGGAAAGAAATTTTCCAATAAGAAAAACATAGATGTATCCTGAATTCCCTCAACAAATACTAAATACTGGCACCTGGGAACACAATACCAACAATACCAATTAGGATTCTAAATATATTCACTCAACACTAATCCTCTTTCCATTTCACAAGTAATGACAAGCATTCACTTCATTAGAGTGAAGGCGTAAAAACACATCATGTACAATACACCTTACACTGTAGACTGGCAGCTGTCCATCTTCCCTTCCTTACCCACATCGAGTAGGTGCGTACACACACATGGGACTAGAACAACCCCTTATCCCTGCTATGTCTGCTGCACAAGTGTAGCTTTATTAGAGCCAACAACGCAGACACACACAAATAACATACAGGGCATCACTGTTATTATTATTATTATACTACACTAGTCCATCATAAACTAAGGAATAGGAAACACAAAGAGCAAAAGGTAAAAACACAGATATAACACCACAAAGCCTTATCACACCCATTGTACACGATAGGAACACATCTCTCTTTAACCTGTCAAATACATCATTCATGTTTTTTAAAAGACCATTATTAATAAACCCCAATTAGTGAATCCACACACAACAGTACCATAGGTACCCATGCTTAATAACAGAGAGAAGTGCAGTATAATAAGGCACCAAAAGGAACAAACCCACTCAGCTTACCTCACAGCACTCCCTACTTAAGAGGAAAGACGGTGTTAACATTCAGCACATACAGTCCACACTAACAGAGCTGAAAAACACAAATAAAAAACAATACTGCCGTCATTATCCTCAAACAATTATTAAGCAAAGCAAAAGCTCATGTTAAGAAGAGATTACACCCGAGATTACAATCTCGAGCTAAAAAGAAACTACCCCAATATGAGGCCAAATCACACAGAGGTGCCACGCATCACCACCACCACCATTACAATATGTCTGTCCACTCTCTCCCAGCAGCAGTGTATGAGGGCACCATAAAGCAAAGAAAGAAAGCAATAATGTTATTAGCCCAGTTTCACACAATGAGTGTTAATATCAAGAACCCATCCACCTTGACGAGGTGATTGTAAATACAGCAGTGGCACCACCAGGTCCATGGAGGGCAGGACGTGCACACACAACCACAACAATCAGATAAACACACAGAGTAGCAAAGTGGAGGGATGTGATGTGGTGGGTGCCGTCGCCAGCAAAAAGAGGGGAATATCATTACAGTGCCGCACTGGCAGAGGGGGCGGGACTCAGCACAGCGCTGCGGCGGTGAGGGCGGCGAGCAGCACCAGCGGGCCGTGCAGCCACTCAGGGCCGCGGCCGCCGTCCTTCTTCTTTTTCTTCGGTGCTGCGGTGCTCGTCGTAGTCGACTCCTCAGGGGCGGCCTGTTGATCTCCTGCTGCTTCTTGTTGTTGATCTCCTGATGATGGGGCAGCAGTAGTGGTGTCAGTGAGAGGAAGAGTGGCAGAGGCACTCATGGACTCACTCATACTGAGGGATGGTGTGGTGGTAGTGAATTTACCGTTATTCCACTGTTCGCTGTTGTCTTTCGTCCCTTGTCCCTGGGCCTCTGTAGCGTATCCACCCACACGTGGCACCGGCAGTGGCATCCTCTCTGCTGCTGCTGCACATGTACAGATGCAGGAGAGTATCAGTAGCAATGTTAACAATAGAAGAGTTGTGCGCATAGTGATTGTGTAGCTGTGTCGTAAACTGATGTTGCCATGATATGAAAAAGAAGAAGCAGAGAGCAAGAATACATTATTAATGGTATTGTTATTATGATGGCAAACATAAACAAGTGTGTTTACTATTAAAATCCAAATACATATGCACTGATAACCATTAATAAAGAACAAATTTGACAATTATTCTCTGCTTGTTTTTTTATCTGGTTATGACAGTATATCGTACAGTGTAGCTAATAATCAAATCCAAATAGTTACGTTAAGTTTTTATCGTGTGAGCAGCTTTGACACTATAAGATAGGTATTTTCTCTTGACATATTAGACGAAGATAGAACAACAATATTAACAACGAAACCTATTAGTGCCACTTATAAACACATCGTTATCTTCTCACTACATGGTGAGGAACTCTGGTTTAGGGTTTGTGTGTTGGCGGGGCAGCATTACTGCAGTTAGTCCCGTACAGTGATGGAAATCAAGTGGCTTCACTAACTAACTACATTACTACTGACTGGGGTCATAACTCATGTACACACACGTAGTTCTGCCCATTAAGAACTTAGTCGTAACAAAGTAATTGCAGCTCTATTAACTTTCATTTCTTCCTTTTCCTTTTCTTTTATCGACTACGTAGCCATGTAAAGTGTTGCAGTATCAGTGTTTCCCTTTTCACTATTCATGCCCTTCACCAACAATCATATCACAGTTAGATTAGAAACACAAGTAACATGTACGTCATCCTTGGCATCTTCACTATTAGTCCATTTATCTTCAAATGACAGGAAGGAAAAGAAGAGAAGAAAAACAACAGAAGAGTACATATGGAGAATAGAGATCATTATTTAAAAGTACACGTAAACTTTACATGGCGGATAGTGATGAAAAGGGAAATAGAAAACATAAACCCATTAGTTACAATCACACTGCGTACGGAGAATATGTAAATAAAAAGAGAATAAGTAATTAATTAATGTAAGGATGATAATCACCGTTCAGTCAATTAATATCAATTTATTCTCTTCAGTGCAACATACAGTGAAAGACATCACAAATAAACCACAAACATAATAATAATAACTACTACTCAAAAAAACAAAGTATAGGATTGTACATGGGGAATGAGTACTATCATCTCCAACTACTTCAGACACCACTATGAGGTGTTGGTTCACAAACAAAAGAAAAAAGCAAACAAATGTATAAAAAAAGAAACAATAATGAATTAGAGTATTATAGATTCAGTTATCTGTTAAGGGTGTCTTACAACAACACTACCCACCATCGCAAAGATTCTCTATTAAACCTTTACTTCTCTCAACTATTAATTAAATTGATGGATGCAGTAACGTTGTATACCTCCTCCTCCACTACTACTGCCTCTGTTG